TAGATGCAACATATAATAGATGCAACATATAATAGATGCAACATATACGGTGAAGCGATGTATTTATGGATTTTTCCACTTAATTAGACATATTTGGACTGATGCGACTTATAGGGCGGTGCGATGTGTACAGCAAAAAATACGGTAGTGTGTTAACACCAGGGTATTTGCAGGTGTTAGCGAGTCAAATTTAAGACATTTAAGAACTTTTTACAGCCACCTTGAATGATATTTAAGACCAAAATCCTATAAATTCAGCCAGTGGTTGGGGGATCATGCTGTGTGTGTCACTCAGTGACACGTTCAGGTTTAGTTTCTGTCTGCTGGACGTAAAGTGATATTCAATGCTCTCTGCTTCAACAGCTATTCAACAGATATTTGGTTGTAAACGTGCAACAGAAACAGACATCTTCTGAATACATTCATGGCACGAGGCTTAACCGTGTTTTTATCTCCAGTTCTGTCTTCAACACAAAGATAATCAGTGTCCAACTTGAGCATTTTATTAATTTTTTTGCACAAAATGCTCTTGGCTTTTTCTGGGTTGGCGACAGACGTGAGCCAGTTGTGAAAACGATGTCATCCAGACATTTGCACCAACACATGATTTAGTCACACAATAGTTAACAAGCATATTTATGAGCAACTAGTAGAAGTAGCAGCGATCGCCTCGAGTCACAGTCGGTTTGAACCACAAACTGTTTAACAGAAAACAAGTTCAGAACACGAAGAAGAAGACTCAACGTAAAACTTCAATCTGACAGAAAAGTCCCGCGAGAAAAACTACATACACGAGATTAAATCGTCCTGCCCCGACAAAGTTAAAGACCTTTGAGTTACGCATTTAAAACTAACTTACACATTTTAATGACTTTAAGACTTGTTAAGACTTTAAAGGATGCACGACACCCTAACAGTGTTTCCTCTACAGAACTGAGGGATGTTTTCAGACTTACTGATTTTAGGTTGGACTCCATCTCTGTGAAGTTCCACTCATTAAGTGGAAGGCTCAGACCGAAAGGCTAAAAGAGACAGAAAAAACAAAGAAACTGAGTTGTTTTATATTAATGATAATATGAACATGTTTGTAAAAAACATTCATCATCTTTCAATCATATCAGGACGGAGCAATAAAAATAATCTGTTCATCAACAGCTCTGATGGAATTAGGGGATTAAAGAGCAGCCAAGTTTTATCAGTTTGCTGCTCTGAAGCTACAGGTGTGACTTAGTGCAATGTCAGGATGGTAAGACATCAGCAATGACCCTAGAGAAGCAGGCGTTGCTGCCCATTAGTCCGATTTTAGGTTCAGCTCTGCTAATTTCAAAGTGTGTTCTACTGATTTTAGCTACTGTTCTGCTCATTTTAGCTACTCTTGTGCTCATTTTATCTACTGTTTTGTGAATTTTAGCTACTGTTCTGCTCTTTTGTTATTTTAGCTACTGTTCTGCTCATTTTAGCCACTGTTCAGCTATTTTATTCATTTTAGCTACTGTTCTGCTCATGTTAGCTACTGTTCTGCTCATTTTAGCCACTGTTCTGCTGTTTTGTTATTTTAGCTACTGTTCTGCTCATTTTAGCCACTGTTCAGCTATTTTGTTCATTTAGCTACTGTTCTGCTCATTTAGCTACTGTTGTGCTCATTTTAGCTACTGTTCTGCTATTTTTAGCTACTGTTCTGCTGTTTTGTTATTTCAGCTACTGTTCTGCTCATTTTAGCTACTGTTCTGCTCCTGTCGGACTGTTTTGTTAATTCTACCCTGTGTTCATTCTATTTTGACTCAGGTTTCTTCATTTAGCTCCAGCTCTTGTCCCCCAAACTTCATTTTCACAGAAAAGGATTTGGGCCTGATAATAAAGCTTTTATTTTGAAAGGGCTCTTTCACCCACTCACATCCAGAACGGTGCTGACTCTGGCCTCTGCCCCCGGCTGCTGGCTCCTGAGCAGCAGCTGCTGAAGCTCCTCCAGACTCATGTCTACGTTCTCCACGGTGTCGGTCGCCTCAGCTCTGCACACACACACACATACACACACACACATGAAGGAGCACAGTGATCACAGACACTGCAGCATCTCTCAGGATGTCCACCTGTGAGCACACACCTGTCCAGGTGGGGTCTCCTGCTCCTCCTCTCCACCAGGGAGGCTGCTGAACCCCTCCCCTCCAGGACCGACTGCACCATGGCGACAGGGAGGACTGGAGGCTCAGAGGAGCACACCTCACAGGTAGAGGCCTCTCCTCCCCCCACACCTCCTCCTTTCCCTCCTCCTCGGACTCCGGGACTCTCGGGTTCCTCCTTGATCATCATCAGGCACTCCTCCCTGTTCACAAAGACAAATGCTGGGATTTCTGCTGCCGTTGTGGACAGGTGTGAATGTTTCCCGCCTCGCTCACCTGGTCTCATCGGGCTGCATCTGAATGGTCATGCTGGCCTGAGACAGCTCAGTAACGTCGGATATGATTGGTCCTCCAGTCAGCGCACCAGCAGAGCAGGACACCGGGTCACCTGAGGGCTGGGGACAAACAGGACGTAATCAGGAAAACAACAGCAAAAACCCGTTCTGAAGGAATTTCTCTTTAAAAGGATCTGTTTTATAAACTGTTCACTGTCAGAAACTCATTTGTGTCCCTTCGAACCAGTATGTGCACTCTGCTGCCCCCTGGTGTTCAGTTACAGGCTGAACTGAAGGCAGAAAAAACTTCATTTGAGCTATTTTTAAATATCTTGTGAAGATTTACACTGCGTTAGGAGGGCCTCCCAGCAGGAAGGCAGCTGTGTTCCCCCTCAGAGCTGACAGTGGCTACATTCGGCTGCAAGCAGAGTTTGTGCTGCTTGTGGAAGGTTGGCAGCTCAGAGGTTTACGAATTATAGTTTTCAATTCAGTTCAACCTTTATTTATACAGGTTAGTCTCATTGAGCCCCGAGGACTCATTTACAAGAGAGACCTGTTTTAACAAAGAACACAGATGACAACAGCAGACAATCATAAAAGCATGTAAATAAAAAATAAATGCAAGGAATTGCATTTGAAAAACATGAAACAAAAACAGCTAGGTTGTAAAGAGATGTAAAATACTACAAACAGGAACATGTCTGCGTTGGTTTTTGCCATGAACTTAGCAGTTGTTTGAGAAGCCACTCAGAGAGGTCAAGGTCGAGAGCTTCAGATCATTTTGCAAGATATTCCAGGAAACAGGAGCGGAGTAGGAGAAGGCCCTTTTGCCTAGTTCAGTCCACACTGAGGGAACACTGCATGTAATAATGTCCTGAGAGCGCACGCTGTAGCTGCACTCACGCAGAGACATGTAGGAGGAGATATATGATGACAATGTACCAGTGAGAGAGTCTATGTGAAGTTAATGATGACCAGTTAACCAGTGAATACAGGGTGCAATGGTGGGTACAGTAGTAGTTAGTAATTATGACTCTCAGTGCACCATGTTTCAATTCAATTCAAAAATACTTTTTTAATCCCAAAGGGAAATATAGTATTGTCGTAGCTCATCACCCTGGTTTCATTCAAGAGTTGTTAGATGCTGATAGCTGTGAGCAGGACGGATCTCCTGCAGCAAATCTGAAGAATCTGGCCACAGATACCAATATAGATACCAATACCTAGTATTGTGCTACTTTAAGCTCTTAGCAATTGTGTCACTACTTTTAGTTTTTAGGTATCATCGTGCTAATTTTATCACTTAACAGCTTTAGCTTTTAGCTACCAATTATCTTTCAGCTTCATTTAGAATCTGATTATCTTGTCTTAGCATCTGTATGTTACATTAAACACCTGTTTATCTATTTTCAGTATTTAGCTTGTGTTCGGCTAATTTTAGTCTCTGATCTGATGTCAAAACATCAACTCAAGGTTTAGCTTCTTCAACAAAGCAGTCAGCTCTCAGCATTTGTACAAAATTAATTTCTCTCGTCTGGACAAGAAGCTGAAATTGTCACCAATTTGATGTGTACTTTGAGTTTTTGCTCATGTTTTTAGACACTTATCCGTTTTACTCACAGAGTGGATGTAGAACGGCTCATGGATGGACTCAACCTGATGACTGTGGCTGAACTTGGAGGCCGGAGGGCTGGCCGAGCTGTCGTCCAACGTCAGGGGCCTGATGGGAAATGGAGTTTTCAGTCAAAAGCACATCAAGAAGCACGAGCTGAAAGAAACGCCACCCAGAAGCCCCTCTTACCAACTTTGTGCTGCTGATTATTCATGCTGCTGATTTCTTACCCATAAGCTGCTGATTCATACCCATCTGCTCACAACAGGCTCATGTTCAGGCTGCTGTTTAATACACTAGATTATATTATTTTATTATTATATAGTGTATATTTTAGATCCTTGTACGATTTCTTTTTATACTTTGTAGTTTTGCTATATTTGGGTGTAACTGGGACCTTGAGTACATAATTTCGTTCCACCTCATGTACCACATGTGATGCGACAGACAACAAAGTCACCTTGAACCTTACAGAAAAAACACATGAATGTATGTTTTTCACAAACAAAACTTTTAGTTTGGATGTAATTGCGTCGTGCTCAAGTAAACATTCGGTACAAAGAAGTGACCTAAAAACTCCCGACTGGAATTTTTCACAAACGTCAAAGAAAAAACATTTTGTTTTATTTTTTGTCCAAAATTACCATGAAAGGAATCAATTGTCAATTAAAAAAAATTAAATTTGATATTTTAATTGTTATGATAGAACAGTATTAATGAATATTATATTCAAGGAGTTGTTTTGTAAGGTGTTCAGTTCACAAACATTTAGCGTTAATTAAAAACTGTTAAAACGTGGGTTGTTGGGGGAGACATCTTGTAAATGAAAGTCTGATGTTTTCTCCTGTGTTCGAGTTCTTCTTGGTCAGTTTTTGTAAAAAAAATCCTAAACCTAAAACGGATGATAAAAGTTTATTTAAAAAAAAAGAAGTCATTTTTTCATCGTGATCTTTGTTGGAACAGTAACTGCAAAAAATCTGGACTGGTTTCCTACAGCTATGTTAAACACAAACAAATGAAAGTGTTGGTAATATTTGGAGATTTTGTACATTTTTTCCACTTTTTTTAAGATGCTCCTCGTGATATGTGGGAGTTCGTCTCGGTTTGGAGTTATAATACAAACTAAAGTATAAATATCATTATTATTATTATTGTTATTATTATTATTTACTCCTTTGTTTGGCAGAGTGCCTCTCCTTTTTCATTCTGGTTGTATTCACTCACAGCAACGAGCTGAACCAGCATTTTACACACACTGACTGAAATAAGGTCATGCACCGTGCCTCTGTGTGTGTGTGTGTGCACGTGTGTTTGTGTGTGTGAGAGCGTGTGTGTGCACCTGACTGATTGATTCAGCATTTGTCTCCATTCACAGCTCTTGTTCGGTTGGATTGTTTAGTTTGTCAGC